ACTTATATATATATATATATATATATATATATATATTGGTATATATGTTGCGTTTTGTATAGAGCCGAGGATCTAAACAATCAAAGTAAAGCACACCTTCAAAAAGTGTCTAGGAATGTGGCAGTATGACTCTCGAGCCCTAAATGACTCGTGTCTAGGGTGTGAGTGTATGTGGTACATAAGGAGCCTGTAACATGAGACAATGGGCTAGGTCTTGGCGGTAGTGTAGTTGAGCGCCATGATGAGGTCTTTGACTCCATTCTCACTAAAAGGTAAGGACCAAAAAATCCCTATTAACTTACCACTTTTACTTAACCAAAAAAACCATGTAACATGACACTAGGAAGCATGACTTAGCTGCCAAAGCCACATGGTTTAGCTAAACCAAAAAACCGTTCAAAGGAAAAATTTCGTACAGAACCTATTTGGGGCCTTCAATACCTAATGCTCTATTTTTTTGTGAAAACTACATGGAGATCACCCCACCAAGCCAACCTACTTTTATTTTTATTTTTAATTTATTTTATTTTATTTTTTTTCATAATTTCCCCTTGATCTTTCTAATATAAGACAAGGGGAAATTCTGTAATTTTTAGATTTTTATTTATTTAAAGCATGTCTAATCTCAGAAACATCGAAGAACATTATCTGTTGCACTACTCAGTGTTTATAATGCCTGACAGCCCAAAAGTCTAAGCTCCTAGGATGTCTAATGTTGTCAATATTGAACCGTGTAAAGCTATTTATTTATTTATTAAGTTTTAAGCAGTCTGTTATTTGCAATACTAGATAGGCTCGATTTAGGGCTTCAAAATTACGCCTGTCCTTTCTCTCTTTACCTCCTTTGGTTGTTTGAATATCCCAGATCCACAACCATCTTCTTTATCTCCTTCGGTTGTTTGAATGTCCCAGATCCAACCATCTTCCCATCTGATTGCATAGTTATAGGTAGTCTTTCTTTTTTTATTTTTTGTGGTAGAGAGAGAAAGCCTTGGGCATATATATATATATATATATATCTATATATATATATATATATATATATATGGTGCAGTTGGCATACGGATGCATCCGTAGCTGTAGAGGTAAGGTTAACATTTAAAATGTATCATGATACATAATTTTGATGTAAAATGTTCATAGAATTATCTCAAAATCTATTTTTATATCTAATTATAAAATTTTATATTCCAAAAATGGTTAAAATCAAGTAGATCTATAAACATATGAAAATCTTGAAAATGGACGGTGTAGAAAATATGTTGTAAAATGCACTGTTTATGAGAGTTAAAATATTTTTATTTTTATGGTCACATATCTCGATGTCGAAATGATCAATCAAATGGTTTTCCAACATTAAAACAACATTTTCCGATGGATTTTGAGGTGCATCTTTATATAAACTTTTTCCATATATATATATATATATATATACCTTATTTAATGTTGTAAGAGTTGTAAATAAAGCGTTTTTAATGTTTCTTATTTCTTAAAATAATTTTTATTCTAATTTTCTTTTGTTTTCTGATTCTATCTAGGTGAAACAGCTCCTTTTTCAAGTGAAACGTAAAAAATCTTAAGTCCTCCTCAATTACTTTTTGTTGAAAAATTCAGACGGAGAAGCATACCCACAGCTGGAGTCCACATGGTACACTAGGGCGCTATTAAAAGTAATTTACAAAGAGACAAGTCTTTGAGCAAAGGTTTGATTCCCCAATGGACTCAATATATTTAAATGTGTATGGTGAAGTTGTGCACAACAAGGTTTTGATATTAGAAGACAAAGCTTTTGTCTAATTCTAATCATAGCACATTACTATTTATAGATTGTAACTTAGTTTATTTCCTTTTCCAAACTTATTATATTTCTGTTTTATACGAACCAAAGTTTGTTTTATGCAACCAAAATCAAATTTTATTAAAATTGTATTCTAGGAAGGGATTTAATGAATAAAAGTTTATATAAGGTGTCAACTTTATATTATAAAAGTAATGCACACCGCAAAAATCTGTTGAAAAAGGTAATTCCGACATTTATAGTTATGAAAAAATTAAAAATAATTTTATGCCCTAAAAATAGTGCATCTTGAGTTTTAAGATTATAAAAACTAATGACTCAAAAGAAGGTAGTGAAACAAGATTTTAGGAGCTTTGATATGAGTTCAAAAATGTGTTGGTTTAAGTAGAAATTGAAGAAGTGGAAAAAGTTCAACCAAGGACTTAAAAGAAGGTAGTAAAACTACATTTTCCAAAACGATGGTATGTAAATAATGTGAATCACCAGAAGTGGAATATTCCCTATTACATTGATAATTATTCATCTAGTTTGGAAAAAAGCATGACTCATGAGGAGAATTGTCTAGTATTGGCTCCTAATTACCTAAAACAAAGTTTTGGTTTCTAGTTATTGCACAAACAAACATATATAAGCAGCGTTTTAAAAAACTCACATGTTCATCCTGCAATGGAGGCTGAAGCCACTCCTGAACAGTGGGCTTACAGCATTGTAGCCTAAGTTTAGCACTCAAATGAAAAGCAGCATTAGGAGAAGAGTTGATTGAGAAAGGGTGAGGAAAGTAGAGAGGAGGAGAGAAGAGAGAGAAATTAGGGCGAGAAGGAAGAAAGGAGAAAGGCAACTTCACCGCATGCATCATTTCCTTGAACATATTCTCAACACCAATTCCCCTTCTTATACACGTACATCCCCACTTGACTACAAAAGTCAAAAGATTCTTTACTCATGCAGGAGCATTTCTACTATGTATTCCCTCGTGTCCACCCAATGTAGGAGTATTCTAGAAGGCTCAAATTTTGAGGATGCAATGTGGACAACCACCCACTGACCAACTTAAAAAAAGCTGTTTGGAAATAAAATAAAACTACCAGAAATAAATAGATAATGACATAAGTTGTTTGGAAACATGCCAAAATACTGATACTTCTTTCGTGACAAGAAACCTTAGCATGTGCTTGGCTAGTGGAGAACGTAGGAATTTGGACAAAATTCTGTCTATGTGGAGATCAAGAGTTTCATCATAGGACCTTTTGTTTCTTTCAATTATAACTACTTGCTCTCTCATGACCATATTTATCGAGCAACAAGGATATCATCCAGATATGTGTGCATTCTATTCTATGTGAGGATAATGATGAAAATGGGGATCATCTCTTCCTCCATTGTACATTCTCTTATCGTATTGGGTGTTGGGCTTTTCAAATAATTGGACATATGGTGGTAATGCCGAGCAATCATATGAATATTTTGAGTAATATGGAGTTGGATTCCTTACCAAAAGTGAGCAAAATAATTTGGGAGATGGTAAAAGCGGTTGTTTTATGGGAGATTTGTATGGAGCGTAATAGAAGAACTTTTGATAACAAAGCTTTGGAAGTGAATTTGGTCAAAAAGAAAATTCTGCAATCGGTTTGGAGTTGGTTCTCTGTGATAAAAGTAGGGTTTGGTGTAACCAAAGTGGATGTTGTGATTAATCTGCATAACTTGATGCTTCAGAATGTGTCGAAAGTTAGAGCAAAAGGCAGATGGACCCCTCATGTTATCGGGACTATCAAACTTAATTTTTGATGGGAGTTCTTTAGGAAATCCAGGCCCTTCTGAGGTTAGAGGAATTTTGCATGATGCACATGGAGAGGTGTTATTTTGTTTTGCTGGCTCTTGTGGGGAGGTTACGGTTAATGAGGCGGATATGGCTGCATTGGAATGTAGAAATCGGATTCTACGGCAAAAAGTCATCAGGATGCCAAGTTTTATGGAGGGGGATTCATTGAATGATTAATTGGTGTAAAAAGATTTTCAGGCCACCTTGGAGGTTGAGGAGCAAATGGCTAGTTATTATGGATTTGTACGTTGATCTACAAATATGTTTTCAACATGTAAGTAGGGAGGCTAATGACATTACTGACGGTTTAGCAAAACGAGGGGTGTATTTCATGAGCTAGTTATTTCCGATGTTTTTCCTTTCTGATTGGTTGTAATTTTTGTCTGATTATTGTCAAAAAAAAAAAAAAAAGAAAGATAATATTCAAAAATAAAATCATATACAAATTTTCTAATATGCCCATCATATAATAATTGCTTGGTATAGATTTTAATATTTTTCTTCATAATTAAGGTGGGAGGGCAATGTTATTGGTGCCATTTATCAGCTAGTTTCCCCGTGGTTTATTTACATTGTCCAAAATTACATGGCTTTCTATGCCCAAACCATGTTGCTAAAGCTTTGTAATGTAATGGCGCATGGATAAGGATTGTTTTATTAGGGCAGGGCCCATTATCAGTGTGTGACATCTGACTTGCCCATTTTTTATCCTATTCTCTTTCTCTCTCTCAATGGCCCTACACTCCTTACCTAGGTAATAAATGGTCTCTAGCTCTATTGCTCACTTTAAGCAAGTCTTTGTCCTCTCTCTCTCTCTGAAAGGCAAAGTGGATAACGGCATTCGATGGAAAACCAGTAGGGGTGGCAAGGAACCCAGACCCGGGGTTAAAGTAGATCCAGAACTTCGGGGGTCTGGCTGGCCAGACATAATATTTTCATCAAAATTAAGATAGGTTAAAATATTTTAGAAAATTATTTAATTATTTTTAAGAGAATTACATGTGGAAAAAGTGTATATAAGGTTGCAACCTTAAAATTTAGAACTACATAAGCACCTCAGAAGTTCATCGGAAAAGGTTGTTTTAATATCAAAAAACCCCTCCAATTGATCATCTCGACATTGAGATATATGACTGAAAAGAAAAAAGGGATATTGAGTGTCATAAATAGTGCTCCTTAAAACACATTATCTAAATTGTCCATTTTCAAGATTTTCATATATTTATAGATCTACTTGATTTTAACAGTTTTTTAAGTTTAAAATTTTATAAATAGATATGAAAATAGATTTTGAGATAATCCTAAGAATATTTTACATCTAAATTATATGTTATGATAAAATTTGAAGGTGCGCCTTAATTAGATTGTTTAAGGTTGCAATCCTTAAGGAAACCACACCCATTATATATTGTATATTCGTAGTTATTGTATCTCCATTTCTATTTTGAGAAAATATCTCGATACCCCATATTTTTAGGTTTCATTTTATAATAGACCCAAGGTTTTAAAAAATATCTTGGGGCGTAAAAATTGTAGATTTTATTTCTTCTAACCCTGCACTTTTTATTTCTTCTAATCCCCTGAGCTACTTTAAGCCTCTTTTTTTTAGGCCAAACAATTCAAAAAAGACATGTCTTTTCTAAAAGGCATCCATCCAAAAGTTCTCTCCCTTTCTCTCTCCACGCACCCCTTCTCTCTCTCTCTCTTTCCGATCACTAGCTTTTATTCTCTCTCCTCCCGCTCTCTCTCTCCCTTTACATTTCCATCTCTCTCCCCTCACTCTCCGTCCTCCCGTCCTCCCAAATACCCATCTTTCCATCTCTCTCCCCTCACTCTCTCTCCTCCCAAATACCCATCTCTCTCCCCTCACTCTCTGTCCTCCCAAATACCCATCTCTCTCCCCTCACTCTCTATCCTCCTATCCTCCCAAATACCCATCTCTCTCCCTTCAATGTCTGTCATCCCAAATACAGAGTAAATGCCCATCTCTCTCCCCTCACTCTCTATCCTCCCAAATATACAGTAAGTATACGGAGAGAAAGAGAGGTGTTTGGATAAATACAGGAAGAAAGAGAGATGTTTGGTGGTGAGATGTTATCGAGAGAAGAGAGACGTGTTTGGATAAACACATGAAGAGAAAGAGGTGTTTGGATAAACATGGGAGGAGGAAGGAGGAGAGAGATGTTTGGTTGTGAGATTACCAGGGGACAGAGAGAGGTGTTTGGATAAACACGAGAAGAGAGAAATGTATTTGGATAAACATAGGAGAAGAGAAATTGAAACATGCAGCAAATAGAGAGAAAGAGAGAAGTTTGAGGTATATAAATGAAAGAGATTGAAATATGCAGCAAAGGAGAGAAAGATAGAAGTTTGGGGTATATAAATAAAGAGAGAAGGGATTGGGTTTAGAAAGAGTATGTCTTTCTCACATTTGTTTAGGTAAAATAATAAGTTTAAAGTGGACAGGGAGTTGGAAGATATTTTTTGAAACTTTAGGTTTATTAAGAAATAAAATCTAAAAATAAGAGATATGGAGATATTTTCTCTTTTTGTTTGATTGTACTTTGTTTTTAAGAATTAAGCAATAAAGTTTAAAAGACAAACTCTAAAAATAATTTAAAAAATGCAAAATAAAAAATAATGACAACAGCTTATGTCATTCAAATCCATTTACTTCCGATCAAACGAGTCATGACTGGACTCTGCCGGGTTAGTTGAATCCATAAAAATGGTTCCAGGAGAGTTTCTTTATTTTATCCAACTTGAGATAATTAACGTAGACCATTGTCTCTGCAAAATATGATTAATTTTTATTTTAATTCATTCAACTTTGTTGTGATTATAATGTACGGTTCTCGTAAACCCTTAGCTTACGTAACTGGGAATCTCAAACACCGAGATCCCACCAAAGATCGTGTACATGAATGACTAAATGCGAAGTAGATGAATACAACTATAAATCAAATACGAGAAATAAAACAAATATTAAAATCACACCACAATAACACACGATTTACGTGGTTCACCTTGTAGAGCTACATCCACGGCCTCGGCAACTAGAAATCCATTATCACAATGAAGATTACAATTTTGGGTTACAAGAGGTAATACTTATATCTAAACATCGGTAAAAGACCATCACCAATCTTCTCTTCTAAACCTGCTCTCCAGGCCGAGCAACACCGTCGATCAACATCATCTTTTCTACTGAAATGCCACTATCGGAAAGATAACCTTGAGAGCAACCGAGAGACTGTCTTACCAGAAGTGAAAGTTAACCAACCCAAAACTCATGAGAATACCGTCTCTCTCTCGGAGGCCAAGTCTCTCTCTCTTGGAGACTCATCTCTATATTGGAGATCCATTCCCATAACACCAAAGGGGTGACCCTATCTTCCTCCACTCTATTATATAGATTTCACTTTCTTGCTTCCCAAGAAAATCTATTTTCTATTTACCATAATACCCTTAACTTTCTATAAAAAATAGGGGTATGGTGATTTAGCTGTCACCAAACCCCCAACATATAAAAGATTTGAAGACGGTTCTAAGGCTAGCAATTTTATTTACTATTTAGATATATATATAATGTCATAAAGGTCTCAATATTTATTTGATTAAATTTTTTACCGAAATGAAAATTTTTGATAGTTACTAAAATATATTTTATTTTAATGTAAGATTGACACCTTTATATAACATTTTTAGTTTAAGTTTGACACCCACCTTATATAACAATTTTTCTGTTATTATTTGTTGCATTTTATTTTAGTCATGTAGTTTAAATAAATAAAACAATTATGGTAATGTGACAAAAAGAATATATATGAAAATTGCATGAGATCAAAACTACATGATCATATCTCTATCTCCAATGAGAAGAAAATGCATAAAGATAAGAAATACCTCCAATGAGAAGAAAATCATCTCAATCACTTGGCAACACCTCTTGCCCAATTCATCGCAAAGAGTAGGAGACATGTACTAAC